TGTTGTAGATAGTCATGTAGAGCTGGCATTATTCAGCCGTTTAAAATTCCAACGCAAATTATTGTTGGATAACTTTAGCTTAGTTTTGATGAAAAAACCGAAGGCTATGACGGCATGATCGCTCTTTCCCAGAAGAGCCAGGATTGAGAGGTTGTCAATTAACCAATTCTTCGTTTGTGAATACCAGTCTAAGCGCGATGGTGTCTGACTGTTTCTCCGAGTTTCAGATTGGAATGGACAGGGGGCTAGGTGACTTGTGTTTGTCCTGGCAATGGTGGTCTCTCAGTTAATCCAATCTTACTTTTAAATAGTAAACGGATGAAGTTTTAATCACGTGTTGAGGTAATGCATTCCATGGGAATTTTGATAGTCAGCTGACAAGTAAATTGCTCTGGGGTTGTGAACATTTTTAGAGTGTCCTCGTAGACTCTGTTTTGGAAGATGAAAAAATGAGGGCATATCAAGTGCGAATTTATCATGTAGTAATTCTAAGCCTAAGATCAAGTCACCTCTAGCTTTTCTAAATGACAACGGGAATAGATTTAGTTTAGCCAGTTGAGCATCACATGGGAGCTTCGGTATTCCGGGACTTAGCTTAGTTCCCGTTATTTGAACCCTCTCCAGAATCTCTCTGTCTTTTTAAGAAGGAGCTAGCCGCTTGTATGCAGTGCTCAAGTTTGGGATGCACGGATACTATAAACAAAGTCAAAAGTTTTAGCCTCGACATGACTAAAGGCTCTATGTATTGACCTTAGGGTTCTAAAACCTTCGGCGGTTATTGCACGGCAGTTTTGGCTAGCGATGACTCCAAAGTCATTGTGTCTGTACAACAGGTAGCTCACTGTTATTCATCATGTATGTATGTGCACCACGGTGATCGGTATGCCTCACAACACATTTGGATGTATTTATCGGAAACTGTGAGACTTGAGATCAGATAATTTCTTCAAGTCATCTTGATGTTCTGAGCTATCACCTTTACTTCTTATCGCTCTCCATATCTTAACATCGTCAGCACATAGCAAGACCGGTGATGATAGGAGACAAGGAAGGTCACTTACACACAAGATGAATAACACTGGCCCCAAAACTGTACCCTGAGGTGCTCTGCTAAGCACAGTTTCCCAGCTGAACAACTTGGAGTTCACGTGTACTCGAATAGTTTCAGGTTTTCCATTGTGGTCTGACTTTATTCGGCCCGTGAATTCAACTATCAAATTACTACAGTCCCAACAAACCTCCATCCTGATAATAATCGCCATATGCCCACTACTGACCGGCTTCAAGAGGTATTTCCTGGAGTTCTAGTGAGAATCTGTAGTGGCATTGGACAATAGCCACACAATCCACAAAGCTGTGAACACAAGACTACTCAGAAAATAGATATTCAATATTTAACGCGGAGAAATACCTAACAATGGGGAAGGAGCGAACAATGAGTTGAATCGACTGGGGTTGATCGAGTGGCATGGCTCGGCCATGCAGGCGTGGTCTCTGCTGAATGTTACCTTATATCTTCTATTCACATTAAATATATTGTTCTTTCTCTAGCCTAACCTTGTTCTACATCATGTATTGGTAATTGATACGATACAGTGAGTTGGTGTAGTCGATGGTGTGACTTCCACGTAAGATCTTATACATTAGGCAGTTATATCATGACAAATCTACAAATTTAGGATTAGGTCTATTATTAGAGCAGTACTAATATCATAGTAAACCATAGTTCTACAAATCCATGACCAGTGGAATCCAACCGTGTCTGTTATGAGGCATTTACATATTGAAAACAATGACAAACGGTTGAGCAATATTGTGGACCGGTTGAAGTCAGAAACTAACACCTTTGGATACTGGCTCAGTGGCTCGAAGGTCAGGCATCCGCGCGTGAGACTGAAGGTTCAAGGTTCAAGTCCTGCGCGCGGGATTGTGGATGCGCACTAATGAGGAGTCCTATGCCAGAACGAGACGGCCACCCAGTGCTTCCAGGTTTTCAGTGGTGGTCTAGCTTTAATCGGTTCGTTAACTCAACTACTGAACTACTACCTTCACCACGAACCCTCATTCTGATTAATTAGTTTTTTCGAAGGATGATAACCTTGCCGTTGCTGTGAAATTAAACTCTGAATCATTTGCCATCGATGTAATTGGACCTTATGTCGCAGTTGCTTCAGAAATATGTACAGATGGAAGCGATGTTTCTTCCCAATTTCGTGTCAAATTAAAAGGAACTGTTGTGGCATTGGACCGTAACCTCACAATTTTCAAAGCTGAACACGAGACAATTCGGAAAATAGATATTCAGTATTTAACGCGGAGAAATACCTAACGATGGAGAAGGCGGAAACAATGGGTTGAATTGATTGGAGTTGATCGTATGGCATGGCTCGACCATGCAGGCGTGGTCCCTGCCGAATGTCACCTTATGTCTTTTATTCATATTAAATATATTGTTCTATCTCTAGTCTAAGCTTGTTCTACATCATGTGTTGGTGGTTGTTACGATACGATGAGTTGGTGTAGATGATGATATGACTTCTACCTAAGATCTTATAGATTAGGCAGTTATATCATGACAAGTCTACAATTTTAGGATTAGGTCTATTATTAGCGCAGTACTAATATCATAGTAGGCAAAAGTTTCACAAAACTATGTAACGTGGTTACAAGTCTTATATGCACCTTATTAATACAGAGAGTTTATATTATTTGCAAGTAGCTAAACCGTCGCGACGATACAAAGAAAAGGCCCCAAACAGTCCGTTGAATTTATGGGGAGAGTCATTTTGTATTGATAGTTCTCATAGTAAAGAGCGTAAAAATCCTACTGATGTTTCAAAGTAGAACAATGTCCTCACAATATATGACAAGAAATCTCATGCTTTTGCTGCGTATATGTGATGTTACTATCAAACGATGGTTTACACAAAAGTTGGTAAATTAGTCACTGACAAAGGTCTATACTCCTCAGAATCCATTTTTATGCTTGATAGTTTTATGTCCCAATTCGCTGATTAGAACAGTAGCAATTATCAATCTGGGTTCATCAAAATATTTGGAATCCTATGGAGCCATATATTGTTATGTTACTGTCAATAATTTTAATGCTGAAAACAAGGAGAACCTACTATTCCCCTGGGTATATCTGGGTAATGCCGTAACCAGGTAAGTTTGTTGTGATATCGTTTCCTAACCACACGGCCTTTGAAGCTGTGCATATAATTACTGAGATCTACATTCAACATGCAACACGAGGAGAAGTTCAGTGATGGTGAACGCGGGAACAATGAATGAAAATGGTATAACTTGGTCACACAGACGCAGTCACATAGCTTCTCGCTCACTGTATTAAATATATCACTATCTTCCAAGCTCAAATGTGCTCTTTAGATGTACTAGACGTCATACTGTCGATTGTCACGTGTAATGGGTCAGTACAGACAATAATATGACTTTTACATAGGTCCTTATGGATTAGGTAGAAGAGAGAAGGAAAGCAATTAATGTATATATATGGTCTCCATGATTTACGAAAACACTGTATTTTGCACTAAACAATAAAATTAATTGTCCGCGCCAGGTCTTCGTTTACTGCAGGATTAACAGGGTAAGGTCTTTTACAGTCAGAATTTTAGCAAATGTAAGAAGAGAACCTATTCGGTTCCTGTAACTACTCGATCAACCGATTAATAACCATTTGACTAACAGGCCGATGTTGAATGTACCTGTTATAACTTGTCAGTTGAAAGCTACATGTTATATCTGGTCGTCGCTGATTGTTGTATCGGAAACTCTTATCACTTATAGTCGAAACGCGAGACCTCTGAAATTCCCACGACGCGAAAGTAAGAACACAAAGACTGGTTTAAGTGAAGACTTATTACCCCAATACACGACCACGGCGACGACGACCTTAGTCGGAAAACGCACTCATATATATTGAATAAACGAGCATCTTAATTAATAATTAGGATGAAATCACATAAATAAAAAATTCTTAGAGTTATAACAAATCAAACACTGAGCATAGTTCATGTCAACTGAATACCAGAATATCGTATATTATACATAATAAAATATCATACCAGAAAACAAAACAAATACTACACTGAGTAATCATTACATTGAATCAAAACGGAAGTAATGTTGAACAGAACTCATAATTAGTAAATCAATTAAAATTGACTTTTCTTCCAACCATATCAGTGCCTAAGTTCACTAGTTTATCTTTACTTGGGTTGTAGTTAAAATTAATTTATGGTATAATTTAGGAGAGTAAGGAAGGTATGAGATCGAGCAAGTATGACGATATGTAAGGCTGTGGAAATTAGTCATAAGATTGTGAGCAGGCATGTAGTGCAACGTAAGGACAACCATGTTTAGGAAACTTCCAATACGAGCTGTATCAAGTGTGTGGTTATTGTCAAAGGAGTCCAAAATGAAGTTCACTTCAGATTAGTGAGTTATAATCTTGGTGGTAAGCACGACGTACGGGTGTTCAGTTAACTTAATGTTTAAGGATGAGGATTCATATAAAGACGATTGGTATGGAATCTAATAAAGCTAGGGCCAGGAGCTGGCTTGAAACAGGGAACATGTTTGCGGAATATGAGAAGCCCCATGGTTAATACCAAACGTGGATTGTCCCTTCATCGTACCCATGTACTATGGCCACTTTGATGACCGTACAACACAAGGTTATTACAGCTTTAAGCTCTACGTGAAAGCGTGTCCAAGATTCAAAGTGCCCTCAATAACTTAACTATCTGGAGCAAAAAATGGCAATTACCATTTAACCTTAACAAGTGTGGGATTATACATTTTGGAAAACATCCCTATGAATTACAACTTACCTAAACAAAAGTAAAGTTCAAACAATCGGACCAGTGCACGATCTAGGTATTATTTGCTGAAAAAGTCTGCGATAATACTTCGACTCTCAGGGAATTATACGTCCACAAAATAAAGTGGAGGGTATGATCAACTACCCTGAGCCGAATTCGGTAAAATCACTATGTCGATTCCTCGAGATGAGCACTTTTACTGACACTTTCTACATAATTGTGCAGACACACCACAACCCTTAACGCATTTACCGAAGCTGGATAAAAAAGAAACCAAGCCAAAGGAGGACGACCCCTTCACGTTACCTTCTGACGCCAAAACTGCCTTCAGCAAAGCAAAATCCATTATATCCAACGCTACGATGTTATAACACCTAAACATTGACCCCACAACTCACCCAACTCTCTTCACTGACGCATCTCATAAGGCTGTAGGATTAGTACTGCAATAAGGGGTCAATCAAATTATTACACCTATAGCGTTTTTCTCCTAACGAATGTCGCCGGCACAGGAACGTTACAGCACTTTCGGACGAGAACTAATAGTTGATTCTTCATGAGCGAAGCAACTCAACTTTCTATTACAAGGACGCGATTTCACTATAATGACTGACCATAAACCTTTATGCTATTCACTCAACACATCGTACGACATTCACCAAGCGAAATAAGACAACTGAACTACATCCAACAATTCACTACAGATATCCACTTCATCAAAGAACATTCCGACAGCGTCGCAGACGCCTTATCTAAAGAAGACATCAAACAAGCCATTAGTCTCGAAACTATAGCGAAGCTACAAATAGACGATGCAGACCTGAAAACTTGCAAAGAAAAGTCTAACTTGATCTACGGATATCAAATTACGGGGTATACTCAATTGTTACTACAGACCTTGGTCCCCAGTTTCAATCCGTCCTGTTCCAGGATTTTACCAAACTTCTGGGAGTGAACCACATCAAAACGACAGCTTGTTATCCAGTAGCTAATGGTCTGGTCGAAAGATTTCAACGCCAATTGAAAAGCTCTTTGATGGCACAAGCTGAAACATCGGAGCGTAGCGACCCATCACCACTCGTACTGCTGGGAATCCGTTCAACTATCAGGGAAGATGTAGATTGCACATCTGCCAAACTAATTTACGGCACAACTCTAGCACTACCAGGTCAACTGGTAGACCAGACACTACAGTACCAACTGATCCAAATCGTTTTGTGAGTCTAGGGTGAGCTTTGTGAAGATAGGTACAACAAACTTATTTTGTAAATAGTTTTTGATATTATTTGCGTTTGTTTTGTTAATTTTCACAGTTTATACATTTACTACAAAATGATTGTGCATGACCTTGAACTAACTCTCTTATCTTTTGAATTACTCATGGCATGACAAACGCTGTTAACTGCTCGTTAATACACTACTATACACACGTCTCTCGTTCTCCATTGTCTGTGGTTATGATAGCTCAACTCTGAAATATCTATCATCTGCATTTGTAGACTACCGCCACATTCCCATTATATTCTACGTCTGGCTATATTACTGGAACCATAACAACTGCACTGGAATTATTAATTTTCGATCATCCTTTGGGCACACAGGTGTTGTGAACAAACCACTTGGGGTTTCTTCAGAAACGTATTAATATATAAGTTTCAATAATGTTGGCATTTTCCATATTTGAAAAAGAAAATAAAGAAAAGAGAAAAAATGTTGATACTACGATAATAATAATAATGGAATAATAGTAAATCAGGTTCTGTGTAATTTAGAAGAATATTGAGTTGACCTTAGGGAAGGAAAGGGGGAAAATAAGGAAACAGAAATACGTCAGTACTTTAATGAGCGTGTCCATGAACACAGATCAAGAATAAACGCTTATGCATGTATCGCCAAATGAGTAACAAAAATAAAAAATTAGTTTCTTGCTCTGTAAATTTGCAATCTTAAACTCTTGGCTATGCTTTGATTTCCTATATGTACTTACCATCTAAACTTGTGCCACTATAGTGAACGGAACACGGGTGGGGACAACCGAATGTATTTGACACAAAATTACAGAGCATCTCAATAAAATCTGAGAACTATGCATCGAATCGTTAATTTGCGAAATGTCCACCAATTGTCTCAAAACGCCTCAGACTTCATTGTTCTTACATTTTCATACAAATTGCATTCTATTCCCGTTCTTGCTTTCTTGATCTTCCCTCATCTTCTGCTGCCAGACATTGCGTTCCTGACCCGCATAATATACTAATTATATCAATATAAGTAGCACGCACCATACCACTAGTTATCTTCATAGCAGTGTGATATACTAAATAGATGTCTCACCCATAATACACAAGCCTTAGTTTTCTGTTTTGCTTGTAACATGGAACTAGTAGAGACTGTATATTCCAGTAAGGGGCTTATCTTAAAGCAATATTCATGCATAACACAAACGTAAGAGAGCCTAACGTCACAAATGGAGAGATGGAAGCGAGATAACTTTAATTCACCCATATCTGCAGAGCAGAACATTTGTTTAAATATGGCTCATTATGGTCACGTGGGATGTCACAAACCAATGCTATTGGTGATAATTTGTTATGCGAAATACTTCTTTAAATAGTGTGTTGTGACGCTGAACTTATTCTACTTCCTACTGTGTGATCCTATTACAAGCAATGCTAAGCAATTCGCTAAAAGCGGAGCCGGCTTTTGACCATATAAAATCATAAAAAATAAAAATGAACTGAAATAGCTTTGACAAAAAGAGGGATAGTCATTTGTGTATCAAGAAACTGTTTTCAGTACTATATATTTTAATCTACACATAATTCTAAGCTTTCAGCTACTTTCTGAACCACCTCCATTTATACAGTTCTTCGTCCATTCATACCTATTAGAATGCTATTGCTTAAAAAGTACCTTAGTGAAAGAGAATTAGACCAAGTAGTCATATCTTAGCTATTCCACCACAAATGACTCAACTTCAATAGGCATGAACATTGTCTGTTCTGCTTCTCATCCTTCCTATTTCTTACCCTCATTTTCAGCTCTCTCGAGATATTCAACCGAGAACACATGTGGGACGAGTAGATTTGTCCTAAGTCATCATTGTTGTCTAAAATGTTCTAGAACGATATAAGGCTGAAGTTTCGAGAAGCTTTCAACTTCACGTGAATTTATTCCCGACCGTCAGTTGCACGTCGCAATGTAACCTCCATAAATCGCTCAAGCTGACATATTGACAATACGAGTCTTACTAATATCATTCATATGTAAGAAGTGTTATTTCCCATAATTCTATGACCAATGTACCTTATAAAATAATAATATAACTGAGTAACCCACTATATTGAAGCCTGTATCTTTCGTAACACTTTGATCTTGCCTGTAAACTGGGATGCCTCATATAACAGACTGTTATTTGAGAACAAGTCAATATTATTATATTGATGACAGTATGTACAGGAAACGCTATGAGCACTGCTGCATGGTCTGGTTCATGACTTGCAATCGATTAATGAGTGCTTATTGTCTTTTGACCTTAAGGAGGGTCGGCAAACCGTTCGATATTCGGTGATCGTACTACCGGATGATTTAGTTAAGACCAAGTAATTTTCCTCCGGCCTTACATCTGATACGACTGTGACTGTAAGGTTTCATATTTACCTGAAAACAGTATGTAGTCTCTCAATACAGCTAGATTTGTGTGCTTCACGTCTGGTCTGTTACTCATATCTGTTAAAGAGTCTCGTCTGAAGTTCCAGTGAGAGTTTTATGGTGATAAATACTGTCGAGATATAGGTAGGATGATATCGGCCTAGATGAAAGTTGAAAGCTTCATTTATTTGAACATAATCATGCACAATGTATGTAATATGCAAGAATTGACAAATTGTAAGGGTAAATGATGAGTAATCTCAAGAGCATGCAACCTCCTTATGTAATAAGTCAGACAGAAAACCTTCCTCGATAACAATAAAATGTGGGAAGACCAAGAGAGATCAGAGGAAAATGTAACACCAAGATAATTGACCTTCGACACTGTGATTATCAAAGAGTCTCCAATGGCACAAGCATTATGGGATTTCAAACGGTGTTTAGATGCCGTTCATGTCTCATGGTAAAGTCATTTGTCATCAAGATCTAATTCGTAGACTGGATCGAAGGTATAGTGCATTAAAGACTAATGGATATGAAGTTAAGGTACTGGTTTTTATACAGCTATTTCAATTAGTGGTCATCGTATGCGAAGTCAGAATTCATTTGGAATTCTGTCTTGAGTTATATGGATAGTTAAGGAACATGACCAGGTTTACTACATTCCTGACGATACTGCTAATAATATCGAGAGCTTCAGTACTTGAATGGGTAAGAATATATGGCCTCATTAAGTGTGCTTGAATAATGGATTATGAATAAGAAACATACCAAGACCGATTGGAAGAATCATCTATGGATGATTTTAATATCGAACTAACGTTGTCATACACAGTGACATGCATCAGTTTACGTGAATTTCCAAATATTATGGGCTGTTGCTTACAGTTATTTATGTTTCAGTTGCTCGTGTCAGTAATGTTATCAAATAAATTAGCCGAGGAATATTGTAAGTACGGAGATATTGTAGTGAACCGCTTGGGTAAAGAGGTAAGTGACTCTTCCACTTAATGAGATATTTCATAGTATGATAGAGTGCAATGCGGTTTAGAATGATTTGGTGCTCCATCAGGTATGATGATGCATGAAACGACGAGCTTTTGTACATAATCATGTACATACATTACGGAATATTCTTATACATTATATTAATTTCGCTTCCAAGCCATCTTGTAGTTCCATAAATCACTAGAGTGGCGTTACCAACAGTGTGTGATCGACCAAATCTAATGACTAGACAACAAAATGGAGGAAGCTTTTTAGTTGTTGTTTGTTTAATAAATTAATTGTTTAATTAATTAGTTGTTGCTTCAGTATTATTTAGTCTGATTTGTTTTCAGTCCTGGGCTATCATTGGGTTTGCTGCATAGCGTAGCCACAACTATTCTATGACAATTCGCTTACAAGTTGTACCTAGTTTCATCGTTTATGAACAAAGTGCATTCACTAGATGCTGATTACAAGAGTTGATAGCTTCAGTCTCTAGTAGTGTGGTCAGATAGTGATGGTTAAATGAAGTTACGCAATGTTAATGAAGAATTGAGTAAATACGATCAGTAAAGGATGGAGGAATTGAGTGCCTTCTAGGTTGGTGGAAGTGTGGGACAATCTGTACTGAGCTGCCAACATGTATCTGTGAAACTAGTAAGTTAGGCTATGAAGAGCACATATTAATTGACCAAACCCTATCCCAGGAGTTAGTGTCTCTGAACAATTGATAAGGATAGAAGTTAGGCGTACTAGTGTAACCCCTACCCGCCTCTCGTAGGTAGCCGAATGTGAAGTTTTATTGCGCTCGTCTGTGTGTGATTTGCTTGTGTTCGCCCTGAGTTTTCTGTGTTTGCAGGCCAGTTCCGATAAACGCAAGAGTAGTAACATGGTCGATTCACCAAAGAAAAGGTGACATCATCCTTTTTTGTTAAAAGTGTCAAGGGGAATGAGGTAGTGAGCCGTAACCCTTGTTTGGTCACACCAACATTCCGTTTTCTGGGAGCCTGTACCATATTATTGTGACCCCGTTCATAACTGTGTGGTGTGGGATCAGCGGTCTGTGGTTGGAATCAAAACCAGAGAGTATATGTGACAAAAAGGTATTAATTTACATCGTGTAGTATTACTGAAACAGTAAATGAACTTGCTGTAGTTGCTGAATATGCGGATTTCTGTCAGATCGTTAATTCACTAGTTCTGGTTTGGCAGTTGTGGGAGGCTAATCAGATGAAAGAATTCTTTCTAGTTGTATTTTGAAGGAACTGTTTCACCTATAATATACCACGTATTTTTACTTAATTTTACCTAATTACTAATTTCGAATTATGTCCCCCATCGTTCTTCTTACTTTACATAATTCGATTTCCCTATTAGTGTGACCATGATTAACTGTGCCACCCAGTTTTACAAAAATTGATATAAATTAGACAAATAAATCAAAAATGAAAAGCAATCAGGATCTAGGACTGAATTGTGCAAAAGAGGGTTGCGTTTTCTCAGATTCTTAATTATCTATAGTACGTCAGGTGTGGTGGACATATCTTGGTTAATGAATAGATTTTTTTATTCACAAACTCCGCCAAATACCTGAAACGGCAGCCAAACAATAAGAAACAAACTCAAAGAAATTAACCGGTTTATAGATCATGGCAAATATATTGATTAATAAATTTATTTCTGGAGGTCCCAAAAGTCTGAAACATAATATCTTATTCCTATAAAGTGGCTCGAGAAGATGAATGATTTGTCCGTTATTCTCATTAGATGAGTGTTCTAGATTGAAAAACGTTTTTTTAGTCTATCTGCACATTTTTAACTTGCAAAGCGCACTAATCAAAAGTTTAATTTGTAATCACTGTTTGGTGGTCATGGGTACTAAGAAAATACAGAATGATACAACACATTTCTTGGCCGATTTTCGCAGGTTCAAAGTTTTCTAATTGGTTATCAAAGTCTGATGATAGATTGTTGAAGAGGCATTTGGTACTAGTGAACGAACAACTTACAGTCCTGATCTAGCTGAGTTGATGAAAGAAGGTGAAAAACGGAGAAACTGGGCAGTGAGCATTTTGGAACAACTTGAAAATGTGATTCAACCAAATCCAGGTATTGTTTTCAGAGATATTAGGATTTCATTACTGCTTGTGAAAACTCGGAGAGAACATATATTTGTGGCCAAACAGTATGTAAAACATGGGAGAAATCTAGCGGTTTTCTCCGAAATTCATTTCACAATTTTATTGTTTGTTCGAGCACACAGTGCATCTGACCCACATGCCCCTACATGGCGTGATTTGTCACTGACTGCCTAGTATTTACATGCAAACTTTTATTGTTATTTATATAATGGAGACATGCCAGCGTAGAACTAAAATCTTCTCCATTCATCTAGGTTAAAGTGCCAAAACTGTACATTTTTTGTGCAGATTTCACGCAAAGTACGATAAATTCAGAATTCTTCAACTGTTCCTTTTTCAACGTAAACTCAAGTAAATCGTGTCATCACTAACGAGGCGAATGTAAGATATTTTTCCTTGTATAACTTCCCTAGAAAAATGTCCACATCCATTCAAATAAGAACCATATGTCATTTAGATCATAGTTTCGTAATTTCATTCTATCAAGAAGTCTCTACAGTAATAGTGTAAAGGCTACAGAAAATGTTTAGGAACGTATTCATAAGCCAAACATATATTATACTTCTTAAAATTAATAAGATTTGGGGACAGAGGGTCTTATTTCCTTCAAAGTGTGTTTTAAGATTAAGATACTGATTAAATATTTAGAATACACAAGCTATGTAAAACCAACACATAATTTTAAACATCATGACCGTTTATAGGGACGGGTTCTTGCTTTTGATTTTGAGTGCGATAAGAGACATGAAAACTCAAACATCACTCAGGTTTATCCGTGGATCGTAAACTTACATTGTTGTATAATTTTCAAAAGATTTAAAGTTACTTTCACAAAAACATCTGTCCTAGGACATTAAAATATCTCTCGAAATGAGGGATTTTACAAGTTTGTCAACGGTTTTTAGTGATTTACACCATCTGGTTGCTATATGAAACTAGAAAACTTTGCCACAAACATATTTGAATAAATGATTTAATCTTATTGCCCCCAAATACCCTGGTATGGCGAGAGTGGGGTGGGTTCGCCCTCTCTCTCGAAATACTCTCACACGGCCACGCGTATACAGCCTCGGCCAGGGAAGTCCTACTCACTACCTAAATTGAGAGGACGAAAAGCGAATGTCCGGCGCTTTAACCGGATCCCAAACCAATGGTGCACATGGGCTCCAGTATCCTGCGGGAACATATGGCGTATGAACCAATCGTTGGTCACTGGCTACCATGGACTGCATCTCCTTACGATGCTCCACTGCCTTGTGGGTTAGACCTTTAGGTCAAATGCTCGGGGTGTGGCCCCCTAAGAAAACCACCTGCTTCAGTTTGGGCACCCGGGCAGTATCACAGCCCACACACACAAGTACGGTGTGGCGCATATATATTTGGTGCCCTCTTGTACCGATATTTGTGTGTTGAAATAAATAAATAAATACTGATTATTTACTAACTGAACCATCGTTGGTTGTTTCAGAACATATATCACTATATATATATATATAATTTTAAGTTCTTAGTTTCCACATTTTCCACCAATAAGGTCAGCCTTTTCCAAGTAAAACTGATCAGAATTTCACAAAAAACTCAAGGGTTATAGCAGTCACTTTGGTCCGAAATCAAATACATCAAAATGGATATCTAATATCGCTAGATATCGAGAATCTTTCCTAACCACTTGTGAACTAAATGCTAGATAGTAGGGTAGAGAGTACACATCCAATATCTGTATCTAGTGATAATAATTTACCTAGAAGGCATCCAGTTGGAGGCTATACTGATCTCATTGGTCGCTTAGCTTCTGGTAGAATGTTTTAAATCTACGTTTGGTTAAAATAATTACATATTACGTAATTGTTGACAGTAGCATTTATGAAAAAGTAAGGCAAGTGATAGCTAAAGTGGTGTAATTCATTAAGTTGTGGAATTGTCGAAAATAATTTTTGAAGAAGAAAAGACCGTCAACTGTTTGTTAGTTTATTTGTGGCAAGATGTATATTGCCCCCAAACCTCAGGTCGTCTGGCTTGATATTCAAGCAGTTATGAAACAAGAAGTGTCCTTAGACATTCTTCTTAAAAGGCATAAAAATGGCTTTTAAATTTTTTTCAGAGCTTTTGAATTGCAAGTCAAGGTCACTAGATTAAGAATTTATCTTTTCGAGATAATATCTGGGGAAAAAATTATGTGTGGAAGTGTCCGATAGACTGTTGTCTGAAAATAAAAACACATGTCAAGTTTAACTTGATAGATTATTAAAAAGTCTTCAAGAAATTAATATGGGCTCGACACACCCAATTTCTAGGAACTATGTGTTTTACTTTGTTAAACAAACAACGTTTTATCAAAAGATTATCCTGAATTGTTCTAAAAGGTTCATTAAAACAGAACACTTGTAGAACAATAATATAATAATAAATTTAGCTTAATTTTTCCTGACGTGTGAGACACTTTTATTATCAGAACTCTTTTTTTTACAACGGTAACACCAATAAAGACAATATTTCGTTGCTATCGAGGTCATCAGTGAGTAGAATAATTACTACAATAGCATAATTTCGTGTAAAAGATGGTGATTTATTGTAAGACTCTTAAATAATGTCGTATTCAGGTAAAACAATAGCATATCTCTCTGGCTTTAAGTTATGCTGTTTAGAAAAATATTCTTCCAATCTTATCAAAGTATTACAAGTATAATCGTATAATTAATAATATACAAGCTTAAAAATATATTTACTGAAACGTGTACTGTTCTGACTTGTGTTATCATTATTATTCTCCTTTTACAAAGTTAAAATTAGTTTTGTGTAGTACTCTTTCATCAAAATATTTATCCTTTGGTTAGCTATAGTCTATGTTTAGGTCTTTTTCCAAAATGCTATCTCAAATCTAGTTGCTAAAAAGCGTTGATTTTAAAGGAGAGAACGTTCTACATTGAATCGGTATCAGAAACGCGAAAAAAGCTTTAAGTTATTTTTCAATGAAAACAATCGAAAATAATTAATATATGAGGAGTTTCATTGTAATTACAACAAAAGTAAAGTATTAGTGTATCTTTAAAAGAAAAAAATAAATGAAATACCTTATGAAGTTGAGTGAATGTTTCTTGATTCAAGCACGTTATTCTTTACAAAAATTATTCACATAATACACAAACTTGATAACTATTTACATTCTGTTTTCCATTGGTCAGCTAAGTTATTTATTGTAATTAAAAATGCCTAAAATACAGTAATCTTAATTCTTTTTAAAATAGGATATCTATTTAACAGTTGATTTTCCTAATTTTTTTCCATAGCCCTACGAATTGAAGATCTTATACTTAGAGGAATGAATAGGGAGAAAGTTCGCCTGAGTGCTAATGAACAGTTAGGTGAAAGTATGGATCGTATTAGTGGCCTAATTAATAAAAACTCACAATATGGTAAGTCGATAAATGACGTAATTAGCCCTTCAATGATTATAGTATTAAGGTATCCAAACCAAACTTGTTTGATTTAAAAATATAACTTAAACGATGGCCTAGTATTGTTTTTGGTGTACCAGAGAGATCTCATTGTCGAGAAAATAAATCTTATTTGAAAGTCATAGGTTAATACGTATGTTAGTATATTTTTATATAATTTGGATTGATACGATATAATGCACAATTATTCATCTAGGCATTTCAATAAGCATGTCAAAAGAGAAACGCATCCCAAACATTCGTTTATGGTTGCTCAGTGCTACCAAAACTCTGAAAGGTGATCAATTCCTGAAAATTCAATCGACGAGGACGTTATTTCCAGCAATAGGTCTATGGTGAAATTAAACAGAAATGCAGATAGTGAACAGCCTTGACGGCCACCACTTGAGGTTACAAAATCAGATGACAGTTCTCTACTGTTTGTATATGTTTCCAAACAACATCTGGGTCAGCCTCTTTGTCAGAACTACCTAAGTGTGACCTCAGGTTTTCCTGGAATCTACTTTTGGCTTTCTCGTCACCGAGTTCAACTCTAATGGGTCTTCTTAATGTGGTTTTCCTGTGTCCAGTGAGGTGCAAGCAAACGCGTGTCCGTATTAGAGCATGATCGGAGTGCAAACAGGCATTCAAGAACGAGCGACAGTCTTCTATCGAGCCTCTCTAACGATGACTGACGGCAATATGGTCTATTTGAGTCTATGATCGGTTTGATGCAGACGGTCGCCATGTTAGACGATGTCTCTCCTTATGTTGAAAATTAATGCTTGCTAAAAATAAACGATTGTTCGAACACAGTTCCAATATACAGTCACCATCATCTGTTTAATGAGCCTGAATACTAAAATATCTACCTAAATATCTTTCTGTTTGGTTTAAGCTACCCACCTAGGCTTTAAAGTCAACTGCTACGAGTACTATGTCTGTGCGTTTAACTTTTTGCAGAAGTTCAGAAAGCTTTCAATAAAAGTCATCTTTCACTTCATTCGGGCTGCAGTCAGCGGGAGCGTAGGCAGAGACGACGCAAAGGCAACGATGTGTGTCCCTATCCTTTCGAGTTCTTATGGAGCCATTTAGCCAACAGCACATAGACGACTGATAATGAGGATCCATTCTAATAGAGCTTGTTCTGCCCTCGTACTTAGTGCCATATCTACAATCGCCAGTCCACGAGAACTAACCATCAGGTCGCCAAATAAACAGAGGGTGTATCTCGTCGGCTCTCCGTTTTTCCGAGGTGAGGTCAAGTGAATTACTACACTAGGATCCTGTATGCGTGTTTCAGAGACACAACATACATCAATGGTACGACATTTCAGGGTTTTAGCCAGGAATTTCTGCTTGCCGATTTGGCATAGGGTGAGTACGTTAAAGTCTCCAATGTGTAGTTTGGAGCGAGGTTTCAGTAGACCTAGGACAGTGTTTTGCGCACCAGAATCGTTGGCTGTGGTGACACTTGAGGAGGAATTTGAAAGGGGAAATTTAGAGTTGAAAGTCGATATGGGAGGAATATTTAGGAATTCAAGAGGGAGATTGATTATGAATGCAGTGATCTTGAGTGCTGTTAGAGGTATGAGGACGTTTTCAATTTCTGGTTGACCTCACCATGGAAGGGTTGTTGTGGAGGTACCTGGAAAGGAAATGGGGTTAGGGTGGTCTTTGTGACCCGAGAGCTTGACCGCAGTGCCCAAGGGGCAACTGTCTGAGGTCGGTCACACACGGCCTTTTTGTGAGTAGTTTTCGTGTTAGCTCCATACTTGCTGAGACCTTACCGCCGGAGACGGAAACCCGTAGGATAAGGTGAGGTGTGCATTTTAAGGGTCGACATTTTTTAACCCACCCTTTTTTGCGTGAAGGCAGCATCGCTGCTATGTTAGTTGTCTGAAGGAAATACCTTACTGCTGTCACACCTCTGTACAGTCAGCAGTACGACATCCACCTCAGACCTTGAGTTTGCCGCTTTTGGTCTTGCCGTTCTTCAACCGACCTGTCTGGCATGGTAGGACCTTGAGGAACGATTGTTCCAGTCAGTATAGCTCGACTGGTTCATTACGATAGGTCATCTCGGCCACCATGTCAAGGTAGTTGCAACGTTCGGGTCGAGTAAGAGTACTTAGTATATGTGAAAGTCCTTATCGCATTCAGTTATACAAGCTATTTTATCCGTTACTTAGGTATAATGTACTCTAGATATCCTTAAGTCCATTTTTCTGCTTATTGTTGAGCATTTCTATAGTTCCCTTTCCTCTGGTTCAGTGATGATTATTCTGTAGAAATTATAATCTGTGAACTACATTTCTTAGTCCAGTACAAGGCTTGTGTGCATAAGATAGACTTTTCTAGTTTCTGTAATCAATCTAGAGTCTAAACGTTTTCTGCTAGGTATATATTTATTGAATATAATGTCAACTCAGTGTTTATGGTATCACATTCACTGGAATCGGCTATATACCTAAGTATCTATCGTTGTAGGTGAGATTTAGTCTAATGACTATATTTCGTTAAATGTAATCTTACTTTTTGACCCTATTATTAATAATTCTGATGGCACAGCTTCACACCATTATCTAAAATCAGATATGCACATACAAAACTCTAAAATCATATTTATACTCTTCAGCAATGGTATCCTATTTTATGCAACTTAAGATAAACTGAAAAGACATTTAATGTAATAATTTATATTTTCCGAATGGTCAAGTCCGTCCAGTTCCCGTTTAGGCTGGCCATTTAGTTTGTAAGTGTTCTTGTAAGTATTGAGTTAATATTCCCACTAACGACAAAGAACCTAAACTACAGTCAGCATAACGAACAAAGTATTGGTTAATTATAAAATCGGAATCGACATGATATATATACTTATGGATCTGATCTACCAACTGTTCTTGTAGTTAAATATGCGGGGAAGTTAGTCGCGGAGCTAGTTAACGGTCTTGATGGTGTAGGCTATTCAATATAACCTTGAGACTGAGAATGTGTGGGCTCGATTTGTAACTAATTAGCCTTGAGGACAGAGAACTATCCTATTCACTGACTATTGCTCTGCTATGCGGGCAGTGACTGTTTAGCAGGACCTGAGAAAAACTGACTGACAGAAACATCAACATACAAATTCTTTTAAACATAAGGGTACATGAATAAATAAATAAACAATGGGACCAGAACTCACTATAAATGAGAAAATACAATATATGTCAAATTAAGGTATTTGGAGTATAAAAATAGACATAGGACGCGTGTTCAAATTACAATGAATTTGGGATAGAATATATGACTATAGTTTATAGATTAAATGAAAGCTTATAATTAAGGGAGTAGGGGAGTTACATAAACATAAAATCATCCTCATGAGCTACAAATTTTCTCCACCATCTCAGTTACATAAACTGGATGCTAATAGTTATAGTCTAATAATTAAACATACAATGTCCCAAAAAGTAGTTTTCATAGTTTGTTATTTCTTATTAATTAGCTACACGGTAGAATTTATAAATTTGTTTCAAATGAAGTCTTCGTGCTGACCATAGCGTCGCATCTATGTTAAAAAATATGTTGGTTACTTCTTTACATAAATAACTGTAAAGTAGATGAAAAGATCTTAGATTACATTGTTCATTAGTTAACCAACTCAAGCAAGTGAAACTGAATAAGATGAATTTATTTATTTCGTGGAGTTTTCGTCAGCTCCTTATAATCTAGAAACACAAATAACAATCATAATAATAAAGATTAGTATAATGACGACAATAGTTATGGAGGAGTTATAAGTACGGTAAAACAAGAAGTAAGTGAATATAATTCGCTAATGTTGGGAGAAAGCCAGCATCAAATTTGATGAAATAATTAGCATGATTTATTCTTGACAAAATGTTGCACCGAAAACGACGTATCCATTCGCCAAACTAATTTTGTTGTGTTGCTCATTAAAATAGGAACAGTAGGCAAATTCGCACCCCATATTACCTCCAATTGTATTTATCAGTTTACATGTTCATGCCAAAACATTATTATTGGAGGAACGGAAAGGAGGCTTCTTGTTTGTATCTCGAAGCACATTCCATAAAGAATGAAAAAGCTAACGTATTTTCAACAATGTTATTGTTCACCATCTGCTCGATAATGGAAACAAGTTCGGTACTTTAAAATCGTTTAACATAACCAATACTCAAACAAATTCTAGTTTACTACGTTCCGTTAATGCCATCGCTGCTAAAAATTTGAAGTTGAGCCTATGTATTCGAAAGAAAATAACTATTTAGTCTCTAACAACCGTGGTAACTTCTAGTTTTCAACATTCAACTGCTCAGCATTTTTATCCTATAAAAATTGCTTTCTTTCAATCATGGGCTATTTTTTTTATCTTTACTTATGTTACTCTATTAATATAATCAGTTTTATGGCTACTATAAAGTAACTTCGACATTAGTTTGTATTCTCTAGAAACATCTCTGTCTGGAATTTTCACATCTGATGACGTACAAATATTCATTTACTTCACTACTTTATAATTCTTTGATACTTTCTTGAGTTATACCCAGTATATTAATTACTACCTCCCTCATTCACAACCACATCTAGCTAATTATTGTACAAATGTTGTTTCATATTTTATTGGTACGATGTGGTCTGTCTGATCGGTATATAAACCAAGTATGTTTGAAATACATGATTCATATCGCAGAGGCTCGGATCGGTGTTATGGACTTAGCTGGCTGGACTAGGTAGAAATCGGGACCAATCAGGACTCTTGGCTGCTCATACGGGTTTTCGCGTCATTGATCCGATCGATAATTAACTGCTCTCTAATCGGCGGTCACGAGTATAACAAATAGTTGAAAGTTTACCGGGTTTGTTCTTGTGAATAAGACATGAACTCAATAAATCACTAGTTGGATGAATACCAGTTCATACAGAAAATTTTGTTTTCTTTGTTATCTGTGTAAAAAATTCAAACATATGTTTCTCAGTTGTAAGGCACACCTTTACATTGTCAGGTAAGACGTAGAATTCGTAATGTTTTTTGTTGAAATTAATAACCACTATAAGTTAGACAACTATTAAAAACTTGGAGGCGTTCAACGGCTGTTTGAGCGTAGTATATGACTCGCCAGCAGTGCACATCCATAACCTCATAACCAGGAATCGAATTCAAGGCTATCGGTTTCGCGCGTGAACGCCTAAACTATAGACCACTGAGTAGATATCCAGTGGTTTACAAGTCTGTCTTTGATTAATCGTTATCATATTATTTGTACATTACCAATCTTACTCTTTCAAACGGAACGAACTAAATGAACAAGGTCAAAACAAGGTAGAAAATAATTGTTCATGTGTATTTGTTTGAATCAGTTATACTTCTGTCCGACTTTTTAGTATTCATTAAGACAATTCTCGAAATAAAGTGTATTTGTTGGCAGCCAGAAAACATGATCTAATGACAATATATATGTATATCGACGTAAAATAACTTTCGATGTGCAACTACATTTTACATAACAATATTATCTTGAAATCTATGCCGATATATTTGGTAACAATACAGTAAGAAACAAATATCTGGATGTTGATCATCAAGAAGATAAATACTAAAGAACCACCATACATAGAGCTTAAAATTCTCAGTTGAAATTAAAACTTGCAGTCATCATGATAATTGGAATCAATTTAAGTTCACTTTTCGTAAAACAGTGTTCACCAATAATAGAATCTATTCTAAGTTATGAACATCAATGGTCATTTAACTTTGTTGGATTTCTAATGATTTTTCACTTAATTTCATTTCATACTTTATGAGAAAATGTTAAATTTTTAGGAATAAGCCATAACAGAACAGTTTTTTTTTATCAATCCTAGACAACGTAGAAGAGATACAAATATGCAATTATATATATAAAATGATTGGAATAAAATTTTGTTTCTAGGTTCATCGGGTGATGCACTTAAGAAATGTGCAATGGCTCAAATGGAAATTGGACAATCTGAAAGAAAATTGCAAGAAACTGTCACTTCAGAATACATTAAATGGTTACGCTCCTACATAGCGTCTGAAGCCAAATTAGCAAAAGTAACTTTTTTTTAAATATCATGTTAATTTTTTCTGATTATCAATATTTTGATAAGTAAGTCAACTGTTTTTTATCTTTTGCTGCTTTCTCTTACTTTTTTCTACATTATAAATTCATGTTCAAACAAGTACTTTTCTTATAATTGGCATTAATATCAAGTTGTTTCTTTAATGCACTTACCTGTATAAACATGCTTTCTGTTTTTAAATTTAACACTCATTTCACTCTATTTGTGTATATTTAATTGGATGACTAACATGTAATGTTTGGTTGCATAATAATTTATGTTCCTATTTGTGAAAAGCATTCGTTGAATTTCAGCAAAACTATTGAATAATATTCTACTGTCTACTCACAAATAATATTTGAAGTGATCGTATTTTCTCTTAAGTCGAAAGCCGAAAAGTAGTTAGAATGGAACGCTGAACACAATTAGTTAATAACAACCTAGCATTTAACACTGTACTATCACAATGAGTTTGTGAAGATTGTTGAATTCCAAATACTGATGACAATCATGTTCTCATTAGTTATTAGTTCCAAGATGTAACTCCTGGAGTTCTAGTGAGAGGCTGTGACCAATGAAGTTCAATCCATATCGGTTACAAAACGGATATCCACCTTAGGCAATGGATGAAGCGTTGCGCAAGGTCACAGATTAATTGAAGGTAGATATTAACACCGTCGAACGTTGGCTCAGTAGTTTAGAGGTTAGGCGTTCGTGCTCGAGGCCGAAGGTCCTGGGTCAGCGTTCCTGGTGTGGAGTCGTATAAACACACTGCCGAGGAGTCCTGTGCTAGGATGAAACGGCTATCCAGTGCTTCCAGGTTTCCAATGGTTGTCTAGCTTAGATCGACTTGTGGTTTCAACTGAAAATTCTGAATTTGATGCACTTCATTCCTAATAATCACAAGTTTTGGTACCATATGGATACACTTCATGTACTATATCAGTTGATGTACTTTTAAAGATTTATTTTCTGGAGAATTTATACTGCAAATACACTTGTTACTTTTGTCCATAAATTCTCTGATTAGATTTGTTAGGAGAAAATACACTGTATGTCCAAATCATCATTGGTTTTTCTGTCAAACAAAAATTAAAGTCAATTCAGAAAAGAAATTTTTTTTCTCGATCATATCGTGTACGCAGGCTATACAGTTGTATTTACAGTTAATTAATAAATAGTCTTTTAAAAAATAGACAGAGGATTACGTAGTTTCAGGCGTCGAAAGAAAATTGTATAACAACAGACAATTTAAAGAATGGTATTAAGATGAATCCGAATTTATGGAAGATAACTTTTCATTTGTCGAATATGAGAAAGGTGATGATTAAATTCGATAGAAAGTGAAAGTGATAATAGCTCTTCAAAATTTTGCAGTAGTATTCCCCTTAAACTCAATGCTCATGGAAAGAATACCTTTATGAACTGTTGCAGGTTTTCTAGACTAATTTTGGTTTCATGTTTTTTTTCGATGGATCTAGATGGATAGCCATATGTTTTCGGAACATATTTGCCAAGCTTTTAAGGATAAACATTGAAATAAATTTCTCTTCCTTTTTAATGGAGCCCAGCTATGAAAATTCATATATTAGCCACTTCAAGTTGCACTATACCATCTGATTTTCCTCTTAATAAGAAATCAAAGTGAAATTCTAAATTCGTTTAAGCCAAATGTAAATTTAATTAACTGATGACATTTATTTTACCTATCCAAGATGACAATTAGGTCATCATTTTCATCACAAATGAGCAAAGTGTCATCTATATATCTTTTGTGTATATGAAAGCCATTCGTATTTGGTTGAAGTACGGTATGCTCATTAATGACCATAAAAATTACGCTAGAAGAGGGCTGAGTGGTAAATCCATAGTTTTTCTATTTTGCTTTAAAGAGTTTTTCATTTTCGATGCCTTGTTTCTGTATATGACTAGATTTGTTTTCTTTTTGATGGGTATTTGCAGCAAGAACGAGAAAAATTGGAAAATGCTCGATTGGATTTAGATCGTATTAAAACATCAAAGAAACGTGCAAAAGATAACAAACAACATGTAAGGCTTGTGTCTTTCTTTAAAGTTTTTGTGTTGTGAATTTAATTTGTCTACTAGTGTACCATTTTTTAAACAAATAGTTTATTTCGCTCATCTAACTAAAATAAATAATAAGGAATGTAAGTAAACAAGTAATTGTATTAAGTTAGATGTAGTACTGGGGAAAATGTTGAAAAGAACATAATGTTTACACTGATTTTTATTGGTCGTTTTGTGATGTTGAAGTGAACATGAACTGAGATAGGCAAATCAAACTGCTTTACTAAAATATGCAAACCATACATTGAATACATTACTTGCACACCTTCCTTCAGTTATCATTTACATGCTTCATGATTCCTTCAATTCTGTTATTATTACAATTGTACTTTGTTTCCCTTCCTGTTCTCTTCAATTCAGTCTTCCGTCGACAGGCATTTCACTTCCGATTGAGGCTACATACTACTATCAACATAAGTACCGTACACCACAATATGACTATTATCTGTTCGTAGAAACGAATGTTTGGTATGGTGTACTCAACATTGCTGGGGGTTTATAGAAATTATTGAATTTTTATAGATTGCGTCACAAACTAATGCTTTATACCAACGATGCTTATGTGCTTACTACTGAGCTCGGCCTTGTCGTGTATAAGGTATTTATTGATCTCAGGCAACGGAAGGTGGTAGCAAAATATCGTGAATTGGTCAAAGTTATAAATGCACACCATTGAATACAGGCTCGGTTTCTCATAGGTTAATCGATCGCCGCGGAATCCGAAGGTCCTAGGTTCGATCCCCTGTAGTAGGGGCATAGATGAGCTTTACTGTGGAGCTCCATACTGAGACGAAACAGCTGCTCAGTGTTGCCTGGTTTTCGATGGTTGTTCAGCTAGGATCAGCTCATGATGTAAACTTTGAAAACGTACGTACATATAAAATGACCATTGGTCTTGAGTGCTGTTGGGAGTTGGACGTAATCCCATCTGACTGGTCACAATCACTGATTGTCCCAATATATAAGAAAGGGTCAAAATCATTTTGTAACAACCATAGAGGGATTAGTTTGACTAACATTGCATCTAAAATGCTAGCATCAATAACTAAGACTCGTGAACTACAAACACGAGAAAATCAGGCTGGCTTCAGACTTGGTCGTTGCTGCATCGACCACATATTCACCATTTGTCAGGTCCTAGAACACAAGGATGCTTAATGGCATCCGAAAATGGTGGTCTTTGTTGACTTAAGAGCAGCATTTGACTCCGTAGACCGCGATATTCTGTGGCAGAGTCTGTCATTGAAAGGCGTACCTCAGAATTACATAAACCTTATGAGGGCTCTTTACTCGAACACTACTAGTCGGGTCAGAGCTTATGGCGAACTGTCATCTGCTCTTGCAACCTCAAGTGGTGTCCGTCAAGGCTGTCCACTTTCTCCATTTTTGTTTAACTTAATCATAGACCTACTTCTGGAAATAACGTTCCCATCGACTGAATTTTCGGGCATTTTTGTCCTACCAGGAGGACAGATGATATAGTCCTGTTTGGTGAAGACGCTTATGAAATGCAGAGTCTTTTGGTAGCACTGAGCAACAATGCCAGAATGTTTGGGATGCTCTTCTCCTCTAAATGCAAGTTATTGCTTCAGGACTGGTCTGCGTCAACACCTGGACTAGAGATAGGGAGTGAAGTAGTCGAACGCGTTGACAACTTCACTTATCTTAGGAGTTTGGTCAGCCTAAATGGTTTGGTGTCTGACGAAATCTGAACACAGATTCAGAAAGGTCGTTTGGCTTTTGCCACCTGTGGTGAAGGCGAAATGTCTGTCTATAAATTAAAGGACGAGTATATTGTGCAGCAGTTCGTTCTGTTCTACTTCACGGCTGTGAAACGTGACCATTAAGAGTCGAAGATACTCCTAAGTTACTAGTATTTGATCATAGATGTCTTAGAAGTATTGCCAGTATCTGTTGGGATCACCGGGTAAATAATAGTGAGTTTAGACACAGGGTATTAGTGGATGACGGTAAGTCAGTTAATGGGGTTGTAAATCGTCATTGACTGAAATGGTTGGGCCACGTGTTATGTATGCCTGGACATCGATTACCCCGATGCGCAATGCTGACTAGTGTTGCAGACGGTTGGAAATTAGGGGCGGCCAAACCAAGACGTGGCATCAGTCCTTGAAGTCACTTACTTCTGGTCTGAGAGTTTAACAAGTCTTTAACTGCATAGCTTACATCACTAATTGTTCTTAATAAAACAACTATTAAAAACCCAGAATGTACTGAACAGCTGTTTCATCCTAGTATGAGACTCATTAGACCCAGGACTTTCAGATAACACAACAATTATATAACAGTTGAAGTATTAGGTTGATATCCGGCACCAATCTATGGTGTTAACTGTATACTTTTCCGAAATCTCCACAAACTTTTTGGATATTAGGGTCTTCATGCCAAATCTTTAAAATTATTTCATCTACATAAATTTATACATATGATTATGCATTCTTTTCCTGCTGAAGACATTTGATCAATCGTTGAAAGATGCCGAATCAGCATTCAATATTCAGTGTGAAACCACTAGACGTTGTTTACAAGAAAGCATAGACAAATTTGTAAGTTATATGCAGTCATTTAAAAATTGTTGGTTATTATTAATGTTGTCATTATTACCATACATGAATTGAGGATTCTGAAGTAGTTAAGAATTTTTCCTGCCATTGACAATTTCCGTGGGGTGAAATTGCTGAAAACCATGACAATAAATAAACCATAACCGTAATTAAGATGTAGTTGATTTGAACAGTTGTGACTATTATTCAAAATGTATTACTTGCTGTCACTGATAGAGTACCCCGCCCAACCTTCTTGCTTTCTAATAGTCATGTATTATTGCATCTGTGTACTATTACCCAGTTTAATGTGTAATATTGAAATAGGAAAGTTAGTTAGCCAACTGTACTTGTTTAAGATATTATTCATGTAGAATTTAATAATTAGAATCTGTTGCTTAAAATTATTCGTCGAATAAATTCTAAATCAAAATCAAAAATCTACTGCATCATAAAAAGGACAAGAATACACTTTTTCGCTGATCCTTTGTTCTCTGAGTTGAATGGTTTGATCGAAAAATTCTTATTGCTCTTCTGAACAACATCATCAGCTTAAACTTCAGGTAAGAATAAGGTATTTAGGTTTCTTCATATATGACTGGTAGCTTGTCGTCGTCTTCATGAAAGAATTAGCCGTCAAATGTTATGATGTATTTTCGCTTGTATCAATGCACATGGAAAATTGCAGGCACATATTCGACCGGGAAAGTCTCAAGATATTTGGTAGGGGAAATAATCAAGACCAAAAAAGTCTCAGCATTTTAGCTCTCAAGTTAATCAATAATCAATAAAAACTAAATCAAACCAGTTTATCAACTTATCAGAAAAAGGATGGACAATTAGGGGGTCGAGAATCAGGTTAAAGGGAGAAACATTCAAAATAAATATGCAGACAACAACGAGTTAAAGATCAACGATGACCTGTCAAAATCAAGGTTGTGAGGACAAGCTACCAGTCCCATAGGGAAGATTTTGACTATCTCACTTCTATTTGAAGTTTTTGTCGATGATGACGTTCAGAAGAACAACGGAAGCTTCAAAATTAATCCATCCAGCTCGGATAACGAAACCCCATCAAAAATCACCCATCTGAGCTATTAATCTTTCCTACCATCCCAGAATTCATTTCAAATCCTCTAAATATGGATAACGAAAACCCCTGAGACATTGTTATTTTTTCAGGTAGTGTTTTGATATAAGCTTGTGTAACATATATTTATTTTCAATGGTTGAGATCATGAGTCAATTGAAGCTACGTTGCGTAAAGAACGATTGACGCTTTTTACAAAAGTCAATTTGATCATAGAAAACAATTCAAGTATTCTCTGTATTGAATCCAATGAAATCACTACAAATGTCTGGGTATTGCTTTTCTCTTTTTTAATCTAAATACATGTGTTTTATACCCTCAAAGTAGATTTAATATTGTTAGCCTACTTTATTGGATACATTTCTAAACAAAATTATTTTTCTAATAATCGGTTTTATAAAAACTTAACTATTTAGTTTATTTTTTATTTCCTTATTTATTGAAAAACAATACTACTCACACTACTACTATTTACAATAATTAGGACTCACAAAAAGAAGAGTTGAAAAAACTTTTAAAAGCTCAATCGGAACACTTTAGAGTATGTTCAGATGCAGTGGAATCGGCATTACGTGCGATCTAAAAAAAAAAATCCGGGAACTCAGACTAATTCAAAAAGAAGGTAAGATTTTATTGCCAATTTACATTTGTATAATACACACACATACATATTTATCATTGTAAATGATGCCGTCTAAATGAAAACATTTTTTAATGCAAATAAATTGCCTGTGTTGGTTTTCAGTAGTACATCGTTGTTTATTTTCCTTTTTTAAGCAAAAATTGCGTCAGTCAGAGTGTATCATTAAAAACTAGATAACAACAGAACCATATTTCATAGATCACATAAATTGATTCTATGCAAATTTTAGTCATCTATATGATAAAGGTTATTTATGCAATTTTATGAAAAACCACTTTAACATGCACCTTAACTTGATTGTACATTTTTTATTTATTATTCAAACACTTCTTACTGATACTGTTTTTCTAGAAAACTTCTATGTTTACTGTATTTAAACTTCTGATATAAAATAGTTTACACATTTGTATTCATTATTATGCAACTTTTTAAGAAGTATACTTTTTTTTGACTATTCGTACGTAACATATAGGGTTAGCTTGTTAGTTATAAATCATATGAACACAAATATGGAATATCCGACCTTTCTATAATTAGTATCAGAACAAAACGAGAAATTTATCAGGATGAAAATGAATGAGCTTGAATCATTTTTTGTTGGTATTATAAAAAACCAATGTGGCCGAAGCAATGTTTGTACATAACAAGGTATGAGAGTTAGTAATTCGTATTTTCAGCTTGTTGAACATAACCCAATACGTACGATCTGGTTGACGGAGAGACTTTGTTTTCGGTTAGCGATTAAAATGGTTTTGGAACTTGAAACTGAACACTGGTAGGGGGGTTATTTTAGGTACAGAACTATCGACAAGACTATAATTTATTGATGAACCAATCAGATTTCAGATCACAAGTCTTGGATTTTGGCGCAAAATTCATTTACTCATTTGGCTATATACCATTGTGGTATTATAGCTGATGCCAGTTCGTGATGAAAACATTAACAGGTCAACCGCACTAATATATAACTCTCATTTAATCCTAGTAGTTAAGTGGACATTCCAAGATCATTTTAGCGTTGCTAAAAGGTCGTCAATAATCATAGGCTAAACGAAATCAAAAATATACATTTGTCATTAATTTTCGAGGTTTGATCACATCTAATCTCCTTTACTAGTGTCTTACCATTGGTGTACCTCCATTATACTGAGAATCCAAACAAACCCAATATACATCGACGTACTTCGTTGAAAACGATTTATCAAATTAGTTGTACTAGTAATTCTAATGCTGTCTGTTTGCCCGGTTGATTTTGCTTGTTCAAACAAAAGCTCACTTTTTAATCCTGGTAAAAAAGCAATAAGTTATTAAAACTTTGAGGTAGATCTACATAATTAAATCATTTATGCTACAGAACAAGTGAAGTTACACTATTATATACTGCCTGATGATTAAGAAACACTTTTCAAGTTCATTCAAATCTCAACTGTATATCTTTAAACATTTAATTTTCTTATAACCTTTCCTATTTAATTATAATTACAGAATGAAGACGTGAGGGTCCTTCTTTAATAATAATATTAATAGTAATAAAGCGAATGGATTTCTGATAATGTTCCTCAACATTTATATCATTTTATCATTTCGTATTTACAAACTACTTATATTTCTACTTAAATATCTGTGATACATTTAGAATTTTTTTGAATGTCACTTTTTCATACAAATGTTTTCTTTAACAATTACTTGTGTTGTTTCATAACGATTTCACACGTATAAAAGGAAATAAATGCAGAATAAATGTTGATTTCTTCCGCGTCTTATTGTTATAGATAGTTTTGCAGGAGAAAATCATTTATTATTTTTATAGCAAATAACATCACGTGAAATTCTACTTCAACGGTTGTTTCCTTCCGTGACAGAAAACCGTTTTCCAATAAAAACTCAGATGAACCACTGAGTCAGTGACGAGGATACTAATCGCCTTAGGGTCACAATGCATTTAACAAAATAGGGTTGGGAATTAATACTGGGAGTCAAGATAGTGTTGGTTAGTTTTTCTCAAGGACCAACATCAGCTATTGTACAGCGATTCTAAAATGTATATACCTTAGTTTTGACGTAAACAGTAATTTACAAATGATTATAAGCAGAGATACATGGCAGCTATAAGTGGAATCCAGGACTTGCGTTTCGTTCCATTTGGGACTTGTCAGCTGGATTTGCTTGCATCCCAGAGTTGGTGTTCACTCTGGGACTGGAACCTAGTACCATTCGCTTCGAACGGCATTGCATTTTCTACCTGATAATTATGTATGTCGAAGTGGATGCTCGCTCGTGACATGGGGTGAAGTTTAATTCATTTGCATTGGATTTTTGTTTATTCCTATTGATGCTTAGGACTGAAACTCACCAGTCTGCTTTTGGCTGACGCGATGGCGTTTGAAGCGAACGGTAGTAGATTGGAGTCCTGGAGTAAACACTAACTATAGGGTTCAAGTAAATCCTGGTGAAAAGTTCCAAATGGGACGGAATGATCATACTAGATTCCATTGATAGGCACCATCCATCTCTGTTTATCATGGTAATATCGAGGTAGTCCGCATAGAATGCACATATGCCAAAAGAGACCCATCAGTCACAGTCCCAGACATCAATGAGAAGATTTAAAGAGCTAGTACAAAAGAATCACTTCATTACGAAATTAAGTGGACGAAAATCGGGTCTTCGGTGCCTAAACAAGTTTGGTAGGTACCGAATATCTATATAGAGGAGATGAAAAATCCTGATTAGAAACCAGTGGTGTATATGAACTCCAGAATTCTGGAATAAAAAATGGTGTATGAACTCATTTCTAGTCACTGGCTACCATGCGACCTCATCTAATTTTCCACTGCCTTGTGGATTAGACCTCTTGGTCAAAGGCTCGCGAAGTGACTTTCTAAGAAAACTATCTCCTTCGGTTTGGGAACCAGGCAGTATCACGGCCTGCACACAAATTGTGTGGCGAATAAATATTTTGGCACCCTTTGTACCGATGTTTATGTTTAAATTAATAAATAGAATAGTTAAGGTGGGATCAGTTTAAAATCAATTATTGTTGTTTTTGGAATTGGAACTAGTTTCTTAATTATATTGCATAAGCATGAAGTCATTTGACTGAAAAGCGATTCCTATAGACCACCATTAAGAAAATAATGAATTTATTTATTCCGCTGAAGTCTTTCACCAACAAGCTGTGATACTGACTACTGTCTATAGTTTACATCTCATGTAAATAAGTTGACAAAATGTCTATAAACGGGGAAAATCATTCATTTTATCTTAATTTCCTTAACGTCATAAGTTTACTTGGAATTAAAGTTTTGGCCTTTTCTCAACCACGAAATCGAATTAAAAGTTATTCAAATATTTATTGGGAAATTCTAAAAAATAATGGTCAGTATTGATCGTAAAGAACAGGTGAAATGTGGTTAGCAGGTAAATTCAGGGTGTACGCTTCGTCTCATCTAGGATTCGTTAGTCATATGTGCTTGGATTCCAGAGTTGATATTCATCCAGGGGTTCGATCCCAGTACCTTTCACTTCAAATACCCATATCAAAATTGAGATAATATATCAACAGGTGAAACTCACTTTCTAGATTTCACTGCTAGTCACATTCCACCCGCTCAATATAAACATATGCTGTAATGGCTACATGAAGGTGATTCTCACAGCATGCATATATACTAAGAAGATTTAAAATCGCAATAATAAGATAATATAAACCATTACAAAATATATCATTATTGATGTATCAGTAGAAAAGATCTGTTATTTTCTCATTCATAACTTATAAGAGATTAATCATTTTTATATAGCAAATTTTCTTTAACAAGAACCATTTTTAATCATTGCTCTGAATCGATCAATACTTCAACAACAACAAAAATTTATGAAATAATATTAATTGATGTTTAGATCATGTTGATTAGAATAAATCTTAAAACTATGGTGATGAATTCCTGTCATGTGTTTAATGAATCGCTTATAATGTTGGCACATAATGGTAGGTGAATTCGAGAAGAAGAAGAAGAATGAAATTGTTATGTGGTTTAATCAATTATCAATCTTTTTTATAGATCTTTATGTTTATGTGTATCCATAAGAAAGATCAAAGACATTTAAATTAAATTCATATCATTGTAGATCAAGAAAAAAATGTTTATTTAAACAGAATAAGTTAACTAAATAAGTTTCTTACTAACTATTAAAATACTATGATTAACAAATAAACTAACTGGGGTACTGTGTTCGAGATCCAGAATGAACATCGTCTCTGAGATTCATCTACATTCAGCTGACGAGTTTCAAATAGAACAAAACGCACTTCCTGGATTCCACTACTAGCTATTATCTATCTTTGCTTAAGATGAGGTTATATACATTTGATTTGAGATTACTTAAGCTACATCAGCTTTATCTTCAGAATTAATACATTCATTTCAGTTTTATATAAAGCATTCATCTATTCTCCGAAAATTTAAGATCCATACTATTAGAGTAAATTAGTCGCTGATTATTTAACGTATCTCCGTAAAATTTCCAGAAGAGAATTTCACTATTTACTATAAAGTACTGATTTTATTGTCACTAAAGGTAACTATACGTTAGAAGTAAAATTTACAAGTACTGTTTAAGTCCTTTTAGTCACTTTGAATAAAACACTATCTAACCGAATGGTTCAAACTGGTTCTTCATTATTCTTGAAAATGTCGTCAGTTTATCACTGAAAGTATAGTTCATTCTACATTTCACTGCTTGAAATCATGAGTCAATTGAAGCTAGATCATCATGGATAACCTGGTAGCACTAGATGGCCGTTTCGTCCTAGTATGAGACTCCTCAGCAGTGCGTATCCACGATCCCGCCCACCGCGAGATTCGAACTCAGGACATTTGTTTATTTATTTATTTTTTCAAATTTTATTTGAACAGTTTAATTACATCATCTGTAAGTTTGTATTCGTTATTTGAAATCAAATTTAAACTATACACCTTATCGTTGTATTTTGTAGTACATGTTTTATTCAGTATATTTCATGTATATTATTATTTACTATTTAGAGTTAATACATCTAAATTAACAATGATATACATCATCAATCCAAAAAAAAAACTTTACAAAAGAAAAGATCATATAATTTACATCTAATAGAGATCAATAAAAATTACAGGTTCTCAACTTTATTGTTCAATTAGATACTATTTATACTGTATACATGAAAGTGTTCCAGGCATGATTCATTAGTTAACTCATTTATTGCCAAAATGTTTGACACAATTATATACACATTTAAGAAAAAAAAGAAAGAATTATTATTTGTAAATTGAAATGAATATTTAATCAATTAATTGAAATAGTCATATATGACCAAAAACATAAGAAAATAATGTTCTAATCTTTCATGAGCATAGATTTCATTATCTTCAATGTAATTACTCTTGATCTGAATAATATAATTTTGAAAGTTTTATTTCGTAAAACCTAACTGCGTCACAAGACAAGCCCTCACATGGAATCCTCAAGGCCAAAAGAAAAGAGGAAGACCAAAGAACACATTAAGCCGGGAAATGGAGATAGACGTGAGGAAAATGACCAAGAATTGGATGGAACTAGAAAAGAAGGCCCAGGACAGAGTGGGTTGGAGAATGCTGGTCAGCGGCCTATGCTCCGTCGGGAGTAACAGGCGTAGGTAAGTAAGTAAGTTATTTCGTAAAGATTACTCTCTACAAATGAATACAATATTTTAGTTTATTTTTTTTATATATTTACGAATGTTAATAAAGGTTATTGACATATGTTTCGATGTTAAATGGTCTTTTGTTAGAAATCTTAAACCTGGGTTTTCGTGCTAGTCGATGGTAATCAGAAATGCGTATCTACAATCTCTGGAGTATTGATTCTTCGACAAAGACTCGAACCAATATTACATATGTCCACAGTTTGAAACATTACTAAAAGGCTATTTAGGAGGCGATTGTATAATTCAGATATTTACATTAATTGGTCTTTGAGTATTAAAGAACATGTTTTTCTGGTCCTTTAATCGTGATTGAATTCTATTGATCAAGCTGCAACTACATGTCATTTAATGACCTCAGTCCCTAGATACCGCATAATATTCAATCTTAACGATAAGAATGAAGAAGAAATTGTCTGGACTATTAGATTTTCAGTTCTAACGCATTTTGTAATGCTAAGCTGTATTTTCTAGGAATTCCATCCTTGTTCCAGACTAACATAAACTGAATAATCATTAGAATTAACCAGCGCTGAGGAGTTATATCACCTTAACCGGAAACTCATCAAAGGTTTACGCCTATAACCCCACTGTTGAAACTAAAAACAATTTACATTAACCCATTTGATTGTTATCATTTGAAATTTCAATATTAAATGGGTTGTTTTTACAATCACTGTCAATTTTCTTTTAAGATGAATAAACAAAACTTATTTCGTCAAAATTTCATTGAGAAACTAATCAAAAAACTTTTAGACTAAACAAATTGTAACATGCTGGGTCAAAACAAAACCGCTTGATTAGATTTTATACAACTTGAACTCTGATGTACATCATTCGGTTAGTATATATTTATATTTCGGGTAGAACCGGAATCCAACTTCTATACACAGAGAGAATTTGAAACATTGAAGTGAATTGTATTACCCCATTCCTTCAAAAACGCTTTAATTTCTACAAAGAAGGACTAGCAGCCAAAGCCCTACATGTATGGGCTAGTCCAAACAGTATTAATAGGAGAAACAGAATACAACTAGCTGTACCATGGCAATAAATAACTAATGAGTAAACTTGAACTCCTTATTATATTCTGTCTATTTCGTATTAACTTATAA